TAAACATTCACGGAGCCCTGCTACACCCCAGGCATGGTGGACTGTAGAGATGCAGAAGAGAGTCAGTCCCATGGAGCACACAGGCAGGGCTCCCAGGGTTATTACAACCCCTTCTGCCCGTCGCAGTGCCCACTTCCGGGCGGACGAGGAGCCGTGTCAATTCTCTACTCATCACAACCACCCGGCAGGCTGGGTTTGATTACAAGCCCACTGTACAGCTGTGCAAACTGAGGTGGTGAAGCCACAGGCAGACCGTGAAGACCCAGGTCTCCCTGGGGGGCTCTTTGCACCCGGGGTGCTGAATTAGGCACTACTGGTAGCACAGAACCAGAGAAAGAGAGCAGCCTTCAGGGAGGGACATGTCCCGGAGCACTGCAGGGTGATGGATTCAGGGGCAGGGAGAAGATGGCAGGACCAAGGTGACCTGGGGCGGGGAGAGCACAGTCTGGCCAGACCTGGTCCCCGCCACCCCACTGGCATATTGAGATACACTTTCTCCGTTCTGTCAGCCCACTGCACACTGCCCCCTTCTTTTGGAGAACCCCCCTGTGGTTTGGGGGGAGCCTGGCAGTCAGAAGAGCAAAGCCCATGACCCAAGCTGAGCCAATCAAATGGTACCTCACCCCTCTGGCTGAAATAACTGAACCCAAGGAGTGGGCAAAGATCCCAACCACCAGATCAGAGACTTTTTCTGAGATTTGTAAAATCAAAGGTGGTTTGCAATACTACCAAGTTGAAGTCTGGAACCCTAGTGGTCATCTCTCCTTCTGCGTGAAGCCTGCCTGGCATGGAAGACGGTGGAGTGGAGACAGAACAGACAGAGAGAGCTCCAGGAACACCTAGATCCCTAGATCCAGGCTTCTCGAGGCCAGCACTGCCCTTCCCTTTCCATGGTCTCGTGGGATGAGCCAATAACTTCTCCTTTTTCTTTAAGCTGGTTGGGTTGAACTTCTGAAGCCAATGACTAAAGGAGTCCTGGCCAGTCCAGAGTCATGACTTACCGTGTCGGGTGAAAGAAGCCAGAAGCATGTACTTCGTGGTGGGACAGAATCTATTTCTGTTGACACAGAGGCCTCAGAGGGACACGCATGGGCCAACATGCAAAGGAGAGACAGACGGTGCTGGGACAGGCAGCAGAGGGACAAGCGAGGTGCCTGCAGTTCCCTGTGTGATGCGCCAACCATGAGCCTTCGTTGGAAGTGGGCACCGCAGACGTGCCCGACAGGGAATAATCCCACACTTAACAACTTATTCCCTCTCACTATGGTGTGGCCCTGAGATCTCCTCACACTGGAGGGATGCTGTGTGTGTGGCCCTTGCTAGATCTGGTGAGCGTGGGCTCTGCCAGGAAGACCAAGCGTGGTAAGGCTGCAGCTGCAGGGAACCCCTCCTCAGTGTGTCCGGGTGAAGAACTCCAGGCCTGGGGATCCAGGGAAGGATTTTATCTGGGGGCTGTTTCATCAACAGATACCCATTTGATTACTTCTGTGGAGGCAAACCACACCGCCCTCAGGCAGAGACTGAGTCACCCAACAGAAAGTCATATTACACAGTAAGAATTACCTGGAGCAATTGAAACTTTAGCATTGCAGGCTTCCCAGTCTTTCTTCCTATAATAATGTCTCCAAAGAAAGTTAGCTCCTGGACTCTACATGAGCACAGGCTCTGGTGGGAGGCAAGGGGCTCACATGGCAAGGATGAAGCCTGGCTTGGCGAGAAATACATTGTATATATATAATATAATTACGTTGAAATAGTTATCAAAATATGTTTTTAACATTAGAATATGGTAAGGTTCGTACTTCTTTATTAACATTCTATATAAAAGTTTTGGAGTGGCGACTAATAAGCACCATAATTATGAGGTAATGATGAATATGTGGTATTTTGAATTATTTGCAACAATTGTAATGTAATATGAATATAATCCATGATTTCTATTACTGTGCTTCATTGTCTGCATTCATACCAAAAGGAAATAAGTTAGTGAGAGTTGGTGTAACTAAAGATGTAACGGTACAATTCTTTCATGCTCTGGAGATAATGTTCAATATACAAATCCTCTGGTAGCCCACTGACTCAAATTCACACTAAAGTGTAAATGATTGTCCCGGGCCCTTTCCTCAGAGTAGATAAGACAGTGGTGATAGTGGGACTGAATATGAGGTCACTAAGCACTGGGAATCAAATAGAACGGAAAGATATTCCATGGTGACTGAAGCAGCCACACTTGAAACCTGCTGACAAAAACCCTCACACACACACTACCGCGGAGAAGGACATTCACTGCACCATTCTGTATAATAGCTGAAGAGAGAAAATAATACGTGTCCATCAGTAGGAGACAGGCTAAATCAACTGGTACTTCGCACTGCAATGGACTGCAATATTCTGAGTGGTTACAAAGGAATGAAGCCCTTCGTACGCTGACATGGAAAGAGCTCCAAGACAGTTTATTTAATAAAATAATAACAAATAATGGAAAGGTGCTAAACAATGTTTACAGTGTGCTGCCTTCAAGGCAAGAAGGGGATACAAATTAGAATACGTATTTAGACTTGCTTGAATTTGCATGAAGAAACACTGAAAGGATAAGGAAAAAAAAAAGGTTCCAGGACAGCAAGCGGTGGAATAGATGGAGACAGACAGGAAGCTGAACCTTCACGGTGGACCTTTCAGTTGTTTTCATTTTTGAACAGTGTGTATTCAAAATAATAATAAAATCACGGTAACACAAATCTGTGTAAAGGACATCATTTTCATTATATAGATCAACTGTTAAAAAATAATAACAGGACTTCCCTGGTGGCGCACTGGTTAAGAATCCGTCTGCCGGTGCAGGGGACACGGGTTCGAGCCCTGGTCCGGGAAGATCCCACATGCCGCGGAGCAGCTAAGCCCATGCGCCACAACTACTGAACCTGCGCTCTAAAGCCCGCGAGCCACAACTACTGAAGCCCACATGCCACAGCTACTGAAGCCCGCGCACCTAGAGCCCGTGCTCCGCAACAAGAGAAGCCACAGCAATGAGAAGCCCGCGCACCGCAACGAAGACCCAATGCAGCCAAAAATAAATAAATAAAATAAATAAATTTTTAAAATAATAATAAATAAAAAATCATAACAAAGATGTTTTAAACCTGGAACAGACCCCACTGCACTGTGCTGGACTGTGTCAAGCCTGAAAGGCACTGAAAAACATGAATCCCTGTCACACCCTGATTCAACAGGTGCAGCATGACACCCCCTGGTTCTCTGATCAGGAAGTTTTCTTCTTAATCTCGCCATGATCCACCCATCGTTAACGTCACCGAGCTCAAGACTCACAAGCCACACAGGTTGTTGTCACTTAGCTCCTGGCAACCACCCTGGTGCTGAGTTGCAGGCCTGGTGTGCAGGCACCCACTTCGATACATGTTGAGGCTCCGTCTGGTCCACAGGCCCTCCGGCCCCGTACCCAGCATCCTTCAGGAAATTGGACTCAACAACCCCTTTCCGCTCTGCTCATTAAAAACCACCACTGCAGCAGGGCTAACCCGGAGCAGCCTCCACGGCGTGGCCCCCTCACTTTGATGTGAGTTGGATTCGGAGAATCAGGTTCATTTACTGCTCCTCTAGCTGCAGGCTCCATCAGCAGCGCACGCTCACCATGGTAACGCTCAGGCCTCTTTTGGGAACCCTTCTTTTCTCTGAGCTTAAAACTATTCAAAGGAAGATCTATCCAAGTTGATCAATTAAAAGACACTTATTAAATACCTTTGCCAAAGTCAAAACATCTACAACAAGAAGCTGTTAAAAGCATAGATTAGAAGCTGTGTTTCCCTGAGACATGTGCTAAATTAGGTTAAATATTTAGCTGGAAGTAAAAAGGTACAGCACAGTCATCCAGAGCAATAAAAGGTCAGAACGCTACCCCTGTGTGAGCCCTCACACAAAGGCTTAGGAGACTGTGGCTTTCAGGGAACAGGGCTCGCGTCTGTGTGGTACCCGAATCGTTCTCACTGCTTTGTGCTCACGCACCATGAGCTCTGGCTAAGGGGATATCGGCTATACTCGTCAAAGAGAGAACATTGGAAGCATTTAAAATAAATGCCGGTGATTCAAAATCATAAAAGTTTCCCACAGGCTCAAGAGAACAGGAGGAACAAGGAGAAAAAGGATGGAGGGGAAATCTCCTGAAGGATAAAGGGTGATTGGTGCCGCATGGATGCTGAGATTTTGTTTGTTTGGCTAATTTTCAGCCAATAGGATTTGTCTCCTCCTGCCTTCGTTTCCAGGTCTATTTCCTGCAGCTGTCACTGGCTGGCCGTTTGGAAGCCCAGCGAATTCAATTCAGAGCCGTGTTGTCCCCAAAACGTCAGTGTTGTCCCACTCAATGAAGAAACTGTGATGCCCTGGGATCAGGAGGGCTTATGAGATCAACGGTGCTGATCTGCTATCAAGGAGAACCTCGGTTTCCAAAACTTAAGGCTAGAACGTACAAAATAAATTATTTCCTCAACTTAACTAAGCCTGATTTGGAGGGAATATGAAAGGTTGGGAAGTGAAGGTTCTTAATCCCAGGATTCCGGGCTGGAAAGAAGCTTGGCTGGAAAGCTGGGATTCTTCTTTTCTTACTCATGCTAAGAGCATGTATTATGACAGCCCATAATTATATAGACATGGCCATTCCACAGGGCAAATTACATCCACTTAAAGGTCACTACTATCAAAACACAGCACAGCATGGTTATCTACTGCGTGCCTATAATTCTGGCTCGTGACTCTAGCACTAAAAGGGGTTAAATGAGCCTATGGAAAATCTCCTGTTAGGAGGAACCAAATATAGTTCCAGCATTCCAGACCCAGAATGGAGAGTACGGTCTCAAAACACAAACCCATACGGATAAGTCACAGACATAATGTAGTCGGTCAACTCTAACAGCGTAATCTGACGTTACTCATTACACATACACGCCTGCCTTCTCCCAAATCAAACAGGACTCTCCCCAGTTACTCACCTAGCATACCCTGACAAACGTCTGTACGCGTGGCTCCACCAACGATAAACTGAGGGCTGGGACACAATTCCTGAAACCAATCGGGAAAGCAATTGCAAAACACAAGTCACAAGATGGTGGCAGCAAGAGTGAAAGAACGTGATAGTCCCAAAATTCAGGAAAGCAATTGCAAAACACAAGTCACAAGATGGTGGCAGCAAGAGTGAAAGAACGTGATAGTCCCAAAATTCATGGAAGAGACCTAGGAGAACATCTACTGCACCTACCGCCTTTTATCGCTGAGGATGCTGAAGCCCAGAGAAGGCAGGAGAGCGACCCACAGTCACACAGCCAGGGGTGGCAGAGCAGGAGGTGGTGCCCACGGCCAGCTCTTTATCGCTATATATGCTGTGTGGGTGTGTGGGTGTGAAAGCGGGTATGGGGGAGGGTAGGAGAAAGGCAAAGGCTGAGATAATGACATGAGGAACTGTGATCTCACCCATTCAGACAACACCCCTATTTACAGGGAGAGGATGAGGCCAATGTATAACACTCTAACAAAATGCCCTGCGCCCTGTAGACGCTCATTAAATACTTGACTCAACGATGACCCCGTGAGCTGATGGAAACAATGAGGCGTCAGGAAGTGTCCTATACAGAGGGGAGAACTCAGCTCCATTCCCACATCTGACCTACACTTTCCCTGCTCACCCACCTCAAAGTGGCAGCCCTACAGCCTTGTATAAAGCTGCTAGCTCCTACCTAAATGGGCCAAGACAGTGCCTTTGGACTGGCTTTTTTTTTTTTCTTCCAAATATTAAAAAAAATCATTAACTTGTTTTCTATTAAAAAAAAATATGTGCATATGGGTAAAAAAAATCTAACAGGGCTTCCCTGGTGGCGCAGTGGTTGAGAGTCCACCTGCCGATACAGGGGACATGGGTCCGTGTCCCGGTCCGGGAAGATCCCACATGCCGCGGAGCGGCTGGGCCCGTGAGCCATGGCCGCTGAGCCTGCGCGTCCGGAGCCTGTGCTCCGCAACGGGAGAGGCCACAACGGTGAGAGGCCCGCGTACTGCAAAAAAAAAAAAAATGGTTAAGATAGTAAATTATATGTTGTGTGTATTTTACCAAAATTAAAAAAAAAAAAAAAAAAAGAGGGAGGAAGGAAGGAATGAAGGAAGGGAGGGAGGGAGGATGGAAGGAAGGGAGGGAGGGGGGAAGGGGGAGGGAGGGAGGAAGTGGGAAGGGAGGGGGAGGGGGAGGGGAGGGAAGGGGAGGAAAGAAGAGCAAATGAACTCATTGGTGCACCTCATTTCTGGACACCCCAACCTTCCTACAGGCCCCTGAGAGACTTCAAGGAAAGAAAGAAATGAAGCATTTAGGAACAGGCTAAGTTTTCCCAGATTCCAAGGCACATCCCCGATAGAGATAGAATCAGGGTCATTACAAACTCAGGAGTCTATTCAATAATCTGTAAGATCTTAGAGGATAAAACTGGGTCCTATAATGTATCGTGTGATGTGTGAGCACAGCCTGGCCAAAAGCAGCTGAGTGAGAATCCTTCACTGATGACTGGGGATGGAGAGGGTACATTCTGACAAGCTTTTATTTATTCATCTGAAAACTCCCAATAATGGGAGTACTTCAGTTCCACATTAATCAGGTTCTACTACCTCATGGTCTGGCTTTTATAGCATTTTGTTGACAGGCACAAATCAGCATTCCAGTCTGAAATTACCATATTTACGTGGACAGTGAGATTAGGTAAAGACACAGTTTAGGGGAGAACGTGAAATGTGGTTGAGGAGGTGAGGGCTTTAAGAATTTCAAATGAGAGAGAAAAACTAGGCAAAGGCTAAAGATACCTGACTTTGGTCACAGAGTGAAATCTTCTCCCCTCCCCCGATATCCATCTCCCCTCCCCCAAGCTCCTTGGGGTCCTTCAGTTCCACTCGAATGTATTCTGCTCCCCTAAGTCTTTCCATCATTCAGTCCTGACATCCCGCATTGCCATGCCCGTGGTTGATGCCTCTGTTAGCACTTCCTACATTCTGCCCAGGATGTCGATCCTTTATTCATGTATCTGCCTCCCCACAATCTCCCTCAGAGCCGAGATCCCAGCTCATTCCTCAGTTTCTCCCCGACCACCTTTCTAAACAGGGCATAGCCAATGCCTGGCCCAAAACAGAGGCCTAAAAAAACTGTCTGTTGAAATGAAATGTGGCTGCCAACTCTTGACACTAGAATATAAAACCATGGTTCCCAACCTTGATTTTGCCAACATCCCAGAGCACCCACATAGGTTCCAGAGGGGCATGGAAGATGGCTATGGGGGGCTGGAGGGAAGAAGGGCAAAGGAGTTATGCTCAGAGGTGGTAACTGTTGTGTAAAATTGATAGGATGAAAACAGAAGGGGTAGAGATAGCTGGAGTTAAAGGGTGATTTTGACCACATCCAAGGAGTTATTCTCTCCTTATCCTCCCTCTTCAACCATTGCCAAGAAAATAAGGACCATGGCTTGATTTTCCCATCATGGTCTAAAAGACAAACGGCCCCCTGGCCAAGGGTCGCAAAGCGTGTTCTCTTATGAGACTTGTGAGCCAGGCACTGAGCAGAGCGCTTCAAAGGATTATCTCAATTCTCACAACCACTCTGTGTGTGGGGGGCTCCTATCCTTGAGGGTAAATCACTGACAAGGGTCACAGAGCAGTAGGTCATGGGCCCAGGTTTTGGGGGGATGGTTCTACATCCCTTGCCCTTGAGATCTGGCGGGGGGGTGGGTAATCAGTGACAGCATCCCAGAGTCCCTGACTCCCATCTGTATTCACAGACCCCCAGCCCCACCTCTCCACTCCCTAGCCTCAATAGAACAATGACAATTCGCAACCCTGCACACTTCAGCAACGACGTCACAGTGTACCCCAGGACTGATTACTTCTAGCATTGGTTTTTTCCATCTTGCACTGGCCCAGGGGTCCTATGTAATAGCTACCATGCCTTCTGCGCCTATTATGTGCCAAGCACTGTGCTCTGACCTTTATCTCCAGTCCTTGTACCAACACTGAAAAATAAGATGCCAGTAGCACCATTTTACAGATGAAAAAACTGAGGATCCCAGCAATTATCTGTCCAAGACCACACAGGCAGAGGCAGGATTCAAATCTAACTTGTCTGGTTCCAAAGCCAGTGCATGCTCTTCCCTCTATACCTTATCACCTCTGAAAAGATGTTTTTTAAAGTGGAGGGGTGGGGGTAGGCTGAAATACGGGTTACAAGAACATAGGGCCAAGAACCATAACTTCTCCCTCAGCTACTTTTGACCAGAAGCGAGGGCCCTCCATCCTGACACTCAACAGCAAACCCATCTCCTTACCACAGGCCGCTTCCAAACAATGCCTTGAGTTTGGGGGGAGCATGGTCCAAGATCCTCGTAGTCCAAGGCTGGTGGGCACGCTGGGAACTCTGGATCCTTAACTAGGACCCCTGAGTCCAAGTACTTCTGCCTCAGGGTCTCAAAGTCCTGGCCCAAGTACTTCACGGCTTTCTGGTTGGAGCCAAGACCTTCAGCTGCCGCCTGCTGCTTGGATGCTCTAGCCACCGGTGCTGCCATGGTCGAGGGCTCCGTGGGGTAGACAGAAGGGCAGAGCTGCTCTGTGCTGTCAGAGATCCGCCCCACGGGGAGGGGAGCTGTAAGGCAGTGCGAACGGGAGGTGGAACAGGTAAACATCTCACCTGAGGCCCTGCTCCAGAGGGAAGTGAGTCACAGCCAGGAACAGATATGTACCCAAGGTGCAAATGAATCTGCCCCACCCTCCCCTTCTGCTTTCAGCAGACAATTTGGAGGCTGGGAAACTTCCAGGGCCCCTCCCAGGCCATTAGCCTGAGAAATCCATTAGGATCACAGACATCCATCCCCATCTCATTGCAAGACCCTGCTTACTTCCCATTGGTCCCATCAGCTGAGATGAGAGGTCTTATTGGGCAGCTTGAAGCCAGTATTTTCCAAGGAATTGGTTCTCAGCAGGAGGGCAAGGGGTTAGAGGGGTCTCCTTTCCTTCCAGAAAAGTTTAGTTCCATATTCGCTAGAAGGACAAAAATATCAGAGAAGGGTGATTCATGGAGTGGATCAGAGTAACCCCAAGTAAAGGTGTCCCTCCTACAAGTGAAGGGTTTGGCCTTTGCCTGGGTATCTAGCCCAACAGCACCAGTAATTAGCTCTGTCACCTTGGGCAAGTTAGTTAACCTCTCATCCCCTTAATTTTCTCACCTGTAAAACGAAAGGTAATAGTAGGCTCTACCTTATAGGGTTGTTTGGAAGGGTGATGAGATAGTACATGGAATTTGCTTTGAATAGTACATAAGAAACACTCAGGAAGTGCCAGTCATGGTTATTCCTAGGAACCAGGACCAGGAAGAGAAGGCCTGGGGAATAAGAGTTGTGGGTTCTAATCTCAGAAGGGAAATGGGCTCTGGGATCTTGCATTAATCGCTTTTCTCAGGGTTCCAATTTCCGAGGCCTGGTTTACCCTAAGGATCTGGAACATCAGTGATTTTTGAAACTGGGAGGGGGAGTGGCTGAGAAATGGTCCTCCAAAGTTACTGAGTCCCAAACTCTGGAACCTGTGAACAGTACATACCGTATTTGGAAAAACAATCTTGGCAGTGGTGATTAAGGATCTTGAAATGGGGAGATTATTGTAGCCCTAAATGCAATCACAAGGGTCCTCATGAGACAGAGGCAGAGGGAGATTTGACAACAGACAAAAAAGGAGAAGGCAGTGAATGAATAAACACCCACAGGTATAAGATGCCCAGTGGTTGGATAGATACATGCCGGGTATAGTGGATCCAGCATCTTCAGGCAGGGGTCTCATGAGATTGTTTTCCCTGCTTTGGTTTCTCCCCGAGCCTCCCGGGAACACGCCCTTTAGGCTGACTGAAATGAACAAGCCCTTCTCCATCTAATCACAGAGTAAACACAGCTGGTAATTTCCCTGCTCCATAAGGGTCTCCTTTGGGGTTAGCAATCTCTTCCCCACCCCACCTGCCTAAATCACCTCCCTTGTCACGTCCAGATGCTGCATGAACAAATTCATCCTCATCTAGGCAGACAGGTCTGAGCTGCTCGGAAGAGAACCCTCATTTTCCGAGCCAGGAGCCGTCTCTGCTCACCAGCCCCACCTGAGCTGACAGCCAACGTCTCCCCGTTACCCAGCCGGGCTCCCGCTGGCCCTGTCAACCTGAACAGACATCTCCCCAGCCTCACACCTCAGACACCCCACAAGAGTCACTGCCAGCTCCACCCAGGAAGCCCAGGATCCACAACAGAGGCCGATGAGGCCGGGCAGAAACACACCTGCCGGCACCGACTAGTAAGAACTCTTCTTGGCAAACAGCGTTGGTGAATGCAGCTCAGAGCACTCAGCTTATCCACAGCGGCTCCTCTCGGCCAGAAGGACAAGGCTGCATTGTGCCCTCAGCAAGGAAGACAAATCACCCCAAAGCCCAAGTGTGCTTTTCAGACAAAGTCTGCAAAGCTCTTTGTCATGCAGAACCTTAACTTCAGTCCCTCCCCTGGGCCTTCCCATTTCAGAATTCTAAGGCAAGCATGGGGTGAATCCAGTGTCAAGAGGATTACAGAGTTCTCGTACATTGCTGGTGGGAATGGAAAATATACAGACACTTTGGAAAAGAGTTTGGCTGTTCCTCAAAATGCTAAACGCAGAGTGACAGAGTAACTTCTAGTAACATTCCACTCCAGGGAATTGAAACAGACTTGAAAACTTAAGTCCACACAAAAACTTCTACTCCGATGCTCATAAGACATTATTCACAGTAGCCAAAGAGTGGAAACAGCCCAATGTCCGTCAACGCACGAATAGACCAACAAAATGTAGTACAGCCATGCAACTGAATATCATTCAGCCATAAAAAAGAATGAAATACTGACATATGCTACAACATGGATGACCCTTGAAAATATTATGCTAAGTGAAAGAAGCTAGTCACGAAAGGCCACAAGTTGTGTGCTTCTAGTTATATGAAACATTCAGAATCGGCAAGTCCACAGAAACAGAGTAGAGTACTGGTTGCCGGAAACCGAGCAGAGAGGGGAACGGGGACTGACTACAAATAGGTATGAGGTTTCTTATCGGGGGTGATGGAAATTTTCTGGAATTAGATAAGCAGTGATGGTTGCACAACATAGTGAATATAATGAAAAAAATCACAGAATTGTATATTTTTAAATGGTGAGTTTTGATTATGTGAATTATATCTCAATTAAAAATTTTAAATAAAAGAAAATAGTATTAGAGAGAAGATGGCCTGCTGTGATCCACGCGTTCATTCGTCGTCTCTAAGTAAAAGATGGGTTCCCCGTCTGCCCAGGACAGGAAGTATCCCATCACTCCAAAGAGTGCCAGAGCTGTAAGACTGAACCCTATCTAACCAGCCCTGAGAAAACAGAAGGCTGGGAAGGCCAGATGTGTGGGCTCATCCCTCTCCAGGTCTGTGGGATCGCACATCACCCCAGTCTCTCATCCCTGGCAGGAAAGGGTGGATCCGCTCAAGCCCAGCTAGGAGGCTAGCTGAGACTGCCCCCCAGTGGCCAACCCTGACTAATGTAAAAACTTACGTTTGAATAGAGGTAGCACTTTCAAGTCCATGACCCATTAGAGAGTCACAGCAAGTCTATGGGTAGATTGTACTGTCAGGCTAACCCAAAGTTACTCACATGGCAAACTTGACCCTAAGTCTTCTGATTTTATTTATTTATTTTGTTGTTGTTTTTGTTTTACAGTATTTTTTTAATTAATTCTTTTATTTATTTTTATTTTTGGCTGCCTTGGGTCTTCGTTGCTGTGAATGGGCTTTCTCTAGTTGCAGCAAGCAAGGGCTACTCTTCGTTGCGGTGCATGGGCTTCTCATTGCAGTGGCTTCTCTTGTGGAGCACAGGCTCTAGGCACACAGGCTTCAGTAGTTGTGGCACACAGGCTTGGTTGCTCTGCGGCATGTGGGATCTTCCCGGACCAGGGCTCAAACCCGTGTCCCCTGCATTGGCAGGTGGATTCTTAACCACTGCGCCACCAGGGAAGCCCAGTCCAGCCCACTCGTAAAAGGAGGGAATTAGCCTCCACCTCTTCAAGGGAGGAGTATCAAAGAATTTGTGAGCATATTTTTAAACCACGACAGTTTGATTGTATTCTTTATTCCAGTCGTGTTGGGCTGTGCAGGTACAGGTGCAGGTGCAGGCACAGAATAGGTGGGAAGTTGGATTAAACAGGGTTATGGACACCTGAGAACAGGAAATCTAAGAACCAGAGTCTTGATGGTACCAGGCTTTCTGAGATCAGAAGTTGAATTCTGCTGAATGTTGGATACTCATAGCTCCCCCAGCCTCAGTATCAGGACTTGTGGCTCCTTCCACCACTGCCCTCCTGTTAGCAAGCCTCTGTTCTGGTCAACCATCTAATTCTGTCTGGCTATCAGCTGGCCTCCTTGGACTGCTCATCATTTTTGCTCCAGTACAACTCTGAGTTTCCCATGGCCCATTGTGTCCTCTCCAGCTCCAGCTCTCTCTCTTGACTTGTCAAGTAAGTGAAACTCCCACCACTAACTAGCAAATCATTCCTTCTGCATTTCTCAGTCCAGTTTCCCAAGAGAGAATCTAACTGGACCAGCTCCCCTTTTGGAGCCAGGCCACATGGGTCCTATGTCACTGACCAGTTTAAGGGATAAGCTGCTGCACCCATGAAGTCCACGCTCTGTCCATACCACTTGGAGCCCGTCACCATTCTGTGCACCTGGGCTCTGATGAGCATCACCTGCTGGCAGCCCCCTCTCCCCCCGTGTCCCTCTGTTGGAAGGAGGCACTGCTCTCAGGCTGTCAGAGCCCACTTTGCCAGCAGTCACGGAAGTCTGAATTGCCTCTCTAACCGGGGCCGTCTGCCCTCCAGGGTGCTTGGTGACATACTAGAGCACAAACATATCTTTTTTTGGACTCTCAATTTCACTCAAAGATTTTTTTTTGTAAGGCAAATTAGGGGGATTTTGGGGGGGGAATTTATGGGGGGTTGTGGGGGTTTTTTTTGAGGTACGCAGGCCTCTCACTGCTGTGGCCTCTCCCGTTGCGGAGCACAGGCTCCGGACGCGCAGGCTCAGCGGCCATGGCTCATGGGCCCAGCCGCTCCACAGCATGTGGGATCTTCCCGGACCGGGGCACGAACCCATGTCCCCTGCATCGGCAGGTGGACTCTCAACCACTGCGCCACCAGGGAAGCCCGCAAATTAGGTTTTTAATAAGAAACATATTTAAGGGCTTCCCTGGTGGCGCAGTGGTTAAGAATCCATCTGCCAATGCAGGAGATGCAGGTTTGAGCCCTGGTCTGGAAAGATCCTACATGCTGCGGAGCAACTAAGCCCGTGTGCCACAACTACTGAAGCCCACGCACCTAGGGAATGTGTTCCACAACAAGAGAAGCCACCGCAATGAGAAGCCCACGCACCGCAACGAAGAGTAGCCCCCTCTCGCCACAACTAGAGAAAGCCCGCGGGCAGCAACAAAGACCCAACGCAGCCAAAAATAAAAATAAACAAATAACTAAATCT